CCCCCCCCCCCCCCGCCCAGTTATCCCCAACAGAGAACAGTGCCTGGCACATAACAGGTGACTGATAAGTATTTGTTAATGACAGTCAAGATGATCCCAGTACGCTTCCCCTTCTCCTTCTACACACGGTAATTCTGGTTTTGACACTGCATGTGACTTTACGCTTGGAAGTAGAAAAGGGAGCCAGATGTGGATTCTTATTCTTGTGGGACCTCGGACAGGTGCTTTGGCTGTTCTAAACTTCAGCTCTCACATGAAAGGCAGGGGTATTACTTGCCCTACTTACCTCATGGGCGGTGAGGATTAGGTCATAAGTGCGAAAACTCTTATGAACTGCAAAGCACTTCTCTTGTACCAGACCACGAGAGTGGAACTGCTCTTTTTAAAGATGATGAAAAACCTAGAAAAATTAATTGATAGCAAGGATTTGCCTACCACAGCAAGCTCGGAAGCACAAATGCTAAACGACGTGTAAACGCATCGATTTTATGGAGATAAAATATCAATACATTTAAGAGGGAACAGGTGTTGAACAACGTTGAGAAACTTTTTTTTAAATGGATTTTTTTCTTTTTTTAGGTTTTTCTCTCCTACTTCTCATATTACTTGGCCTTGAGGATGTTAAGCGAGCTCATAGCAGCCTTGTCTGTATGGTTTTCAGACCTTCCATCCAGTCTACACTCTACACTATGTGAACCACCTTCCAACTGAAGGCAGTTGGAAGATTATATTGCTTATAATCTTTGGTCCTCTATTTTTCACCTGGATAGAATTTTCTGCAATTCTGTTCCAACAATCAATGTCCCCAAGTTATTTTAAATTTCAACAGTGACTACAAAACTATGTTAGAATGTAATGGAAATATCTTGACCTTTTAGGCATTTGGGGCTTTTCAGAGACAGCACAGTGGTCCCAGAATCCACACTCTGGAGTGGGGCGCCCTGGCCTGGAGTCCCAGCTCTGACAGAGACTCAGATCAATCACTTGACTCCCCGGTGCTCAGTTCTTCCCCTTGAAATACAAGGCTAATAAAATTCTATCCCACAAGGGTGCTGGGAAGAGTCAATGAAAATCGTCTACATGCAATGCTTTACACACTGTCAATGTTCAATAACTATTCTTTTCTTCAGAATTTTGCCTCATGTTCCTAGACTCAAATCAGTAAAACATTCAGTGTTTTCTCAGATACATTCTATATTTATCATTCAATAATTTAAACATCTGATTTACCAGAAGCATGAAAGAAACTAACGTACAACCAGTTTTTACTGTATAATGATGTTATTTAACTTATACTGAAGAACACTGTCCCATACATGTGAACAATCAGTTTTACTATGGAATCTGAATTATACGAACTTGAAAATCTAAAAACAGGACTACCCCCAACTACCAGTTATTTAACTTTCCATTATATTACATCTGAGTCAGCATAATCTTTATTTCAAAATAGCATTTTTATTATATAAAAATGTAAAAATCCAGCAAAACCAGAAATACCGGATATATTTTCCTGGGCTTTCACATTTGTTGATTTTTATTCACAATCCTTTTTCTCAATACAATTTACAACCTCATCCCCATTTGCAGTCTGATTATACAAGTGCTAAGTGGCAGAAAGGTCTAGAATAAATACACCGAAAAAGAGGCAAAGCTGTGAAACTAAGTTGCATGCAACAGGTCTATGAGGGGGGAAGTGTCTGGGAAATAAAACAGAGTAAGACAAAGTAATTGGAAAGTTTTAGCTCAGGTTCTTTTCAATCATCTTTGTCTTTCGCTCCATGTTTAAGGATGCGCGTAAACTCAATGTAATTGAAATTCCCCTTTTTGTCAATAGGTGCTTCTCTATACAGCTCATCCACTTCCTCATCTGTAAAACGATCTCCCATCGTGGTCAGCAGCTCTCGAAGGTAATCCTCCTGAATGGTGCCTGGAAGGCAGCAGAAAAAGGGGAGTTGCAAACACTTCCCGGCACTTTAATGATTTGATTCTCAACTAGGTCAATCTTACCAGATATTTCAGAACATACATATTTACCTGAACAATATAAAGCAATATATAACCATATCCTTATCTTTTCCTACTATTTTTAGAGTTCTTTATTAATATTAGATTAAATCATTTACAAAGTCAGTTAGTAGATCATACGCTTACAAAATTAATTTGAAGCGTGTATTTTCCAGAGGAGAAAAAAATACCTTGTATTTGAGAGATATTAAAAAAAAAAGAAGGCAGATACCCAGAACAAAAGGGCAGCGTTGCCAAGACCAAACGTGCACGAAGGACGGTGCAGTTTTAATAGGTAGCAAGGGGGAAGCAGGAAGGAGGATGCGAGGTGTATGTGAGGAGGCGATGCGCGTGCCTGAGCAGAGGGTTAACGCAGAAGCAAAGGGGAAAACAAGAGAAGTCAGAAAACGGAACAGCAGGGCTTTCTTCACACATTTTTAAATAATAAGGGAAAAAAACGAAGATTTTAATTGTCCAAGTTAGTTAACTATACTTTCTGGTGAAAGTTAAAGTCTCTTGAAGCAGTATATTGTCTAAGAAACACTATTTAAAAGACAATTCTCCCTTTGGCTTCCAGGAAGCTCAGAACCAGATTCAAAGATTAACACCACAAACCGTGTAGCTTTATGACCTACCCTGTGTTCTAGCCATTCTTGGTCGACTGTCCTATCGTAAATGATAGTTTCCCTCTACTCATTTTTAAAAATTTATATTTTGCTAATCTTTCTCATTCCCTAAAAAGTGTTTCACATAGTCTGGAATGAGGCTGGGCATAAACAAAGAGTGCTCACCAGTTGCTTCTTCGTCAAAGCAAGCAAAAGCGTTTCTGATGACATCTTCTGGGTCTGTGCCATTTAGCTTCTCCCCAAACATGGTAAGGAACATGGTGAAGTTTATGGGCCCTGGAGCCTCATTCATCATGGCTTCGAGGTACGCGTCAGTTGGATTCTTCCCTAGAAAATTGCACATTTTAACATTTAAGGACAAAGAACTCATTTCAATAAATAATTATTCTGTTATTGTTATGTTCCCCAACATATTTTTAAAAGTTACATCACCATCACACGAAACTAATATTTCAATTAACTTACATTAAGAACATTTAAAAAAGATAATTTTTAACAACATAAAAAAACTTTGATACATCATAAATAAAATGCATTCTGGGCTTAGGTTGAATACTGTCCATTCACTGATACTTCCTGCAACTTTTCCTTCACTATTTTTCATTAAAAATAAAACACACACATGAAACTATGAGCCAGGTAATGCCACATTACTACATCTTGAATGCCAATAACATTAAAGTCCCATCAGGGCATTTCAATACTGGTTATTTAAAAAATCTAAATATTCATATTTCTAACTGCAGTAAGTTGCCTATAATTGGTATGCTTCAAACTATTTATAAGTTGGTCATTTAAGCTGAAACTATTAGGTTCGTTTAGAACTGGGAGCTCATTTTATTTATTATTTAAAATTAATTAATCAATCTATTTATTATTTATTTATGGCTGCATTGGGTCTTCGTTGCTGTGCGTGGGCTTTCTCTAGTTGCGGCGAGCGGGGGCTACTCTTCGTTGTGGTGCACAGGCTTCTCATTGCGGTGGCTTCTCTTGTTGCGGAGCACAGGCTCTAGGCACGCGGGCTCTAGAGTGCAGGTTCAGTAGTTGTGGTACATGGGCTTAGTTGCTCTGTGGCATGTGGGATCTTCTTGGACCACAGCTTGAACCCGTGTCCCCTGCACTGGCAGGCGGATTCTCAACCATTGCACCACCAGGGAAGTCCCTGGGAGCTCATTTTAAACAATGTTATGTTCTATTTGGTTGTCAGACATATCCCCAGATGCTGTTTACTCGTATTGCTGAAATATAGCCTTGTTTAGTATTGTTCATGATGGGAAATCTTAATCTCAGTTCCAACCAAGGACACTTCTCCCTCTTCTGGTATGGTGGTGAGGGAACTCCCCTGACCCTCCCCTCGAAGTTGGGAGAAATTCCCCTGGAATGGCCACATATGGTGGAAGTAACAAAGAGCTTCTCTTTGTCCTGGCATTTGTGAGGTCCACATGGTGCAGAAAAGCAGCACTGAACGAAGGGTCTGGAATAGTGGGTTTGAATCCCAGTTCTGCCACTGACTGTGTGCCCTGGGACAAGGTGGAAACTGTCTAGGGTTTAATGGACTAGTTAACCTTGGTATCTGAAAGGTCCCTTCCAACATTAAGTTTGTATGATTCTCCATGAAAAGAGCATCCATGTCAGCATCTCACTATTAGACCCAACTAAGTGCTAATGACAGTCAAATCTAGAATTATGGTTCATATGTAAGTTTTACTCCCAGGAATTTGGGTGAAATTTAAGTGCCAAGTTGGCATCTGTCTTACTGCATTACAACCTTCACTCATTATACCTATTCAAGATATTGATACAAAATTAGCCCAAAATTAATCTCAAGATTCTTCGAGTAAGTGAAAGTAGCTAAAAAGGACTAATTTTCTACCTGCAGATTTAACCCGACTCTCTTGCAGCAATTCTTGGGGGTAAAAAGTGTAACCCAAAGGTGTCAAGAGAACATGGGTACGAAAAAGACACAGGGATTTAAAATGAACTGGCTTAGGCTAAGCACCTATGGACACATTCAAGGCATCTAATATAATTTGTTGATTTAAAGGGCAAATATGTATGTCTAAAGGCATGGCATTCCCCAAAATGGAAGTCCCCAAAAGTCAGTCTCTTACTCTACCATCACTCATTCATCCAACAAAAATTAACTGAGCATCTACTAGGACCAGGGGATAGGCTTGAGTGTTCGATCTTTGTAATACAACTCAGGCCCTCAATTCTCCTTGGTGGCCTTCAGTAGTGACCTGCTCCCCAAATGACACTTAGTACTTAGCTATTCAGAGTGTGGAAAACACTGGGATCCACCCCACCTGCAAGTCAACAAGTCAGATCAGTATCTTGACTCAACTCTCACTCTGAATAAAGGCCATGTTGCAAGACTCAACTCTCACTCTGAATAAAGGCAATGTTGCAAAATGTTAACAGCTCGTGAATCTGGGTAAAGGATGGATGCGTGTTCATTATACCGTTCTTTCAACTTTTTATAGGCTTAAAAAATTTCAAAATAACACGCTAGGAGAAAAAAATAAAAGAGACGAACAAAATCATGTGGTTACTAAAAAGAAAAAAGTAACAAAATTCTCTCTCTTTGTCCTCTGGCCCTTGAACTGCCCTTTCTGGCTCATGGTCAGACACAGAAACGTTAGAGTTGCAGAGCCTACCTGTGGGCCATCCCTGACTTGTGCCCCCTTCCCTGCCCGTCATTCTGGCCTGTCAAGAACCCCCTGACTTGATACTCCTTTCTTCCAACTGTAAAATCAGTGCCAATTCAGGCAGGACATGGAGGACTTTCCCCTCTTTCCTTAAGATCAAAACAACAAAATCATATAAGGAATAGTAAATTAACATCAACATAGCCAGAATGACAAAGGGCAGTGTATGTTTGCTTTAAATCCTGTATCTTTAAATGAAATACTGCCATGTGCAGCAACATGGATGGGTCTAGAGATTATCATACTAAGTGAGGTAAGTCAGGCAGGCAAAGACAAATGTTATATATCACTTGTATGTGGAATCTAAAAAAAAAATTATAAATCAACTTATTTACAAAACATAAACAGACTCACAGACATAGAAAACAAACTTATGGTTACCAAAGGGGAAAGGTGTGGGGGGAGGGATAAATTACGGGTTTGGGATTAACAAATACACACCACTATACAAAAAATAGATAAACAACAGGATTTACTGCATAGCACAAGTAACTATACTTAACATCTTATAATAAATCTACAGTGGAAAAGAATCTGAAGCTGTACACCTGAAACTAACACAATATTGTAAATCAACTATAGCTAAATAAATGTGTAAAAATAAATCGATAAATCTTCTATCTTTACATTTTCTTTTCTTTAATTATAAAAAAATATATATAAATTGTGGAAGCCCCCTCCCCTGTGTTCCCTTTTTTTAGGAGCACTGCCCTTCCTCCCTGAGATGGTCGTTATCACTTATGACCGTCACCTCTGTCATATAACCTGTCCTCAACTTTTATTACTTAGTACGTTATATTACTGTCCACACTTTTTAAGATTCTGGTATCTTGTCATCTAGTCATCCCCTGGCTTTTCACCTTGTAGACCTATCATATTTAGCTAACAGGAACGGAAGCCTGCCTAGCCACAGTGGCAGCCAGGCCCCCACCGCTGAAGGCGTATCCTCTTATGACGGGCCAAGCCTCAGTATGGTGCCTCCCACCCAATATCTCTCAAGAGGGCTTTGAGACCAGGAGATTAATATCTGTACATCACACAAAAAATAATTCATAAAACGCTAATTATTTTGGAGAAGGAGGAATATTAAGAACATAAAAGTCTACCTAGAGAAGCAAGCATATCATGTAAGTCTTCCTTGTCGATGAAACCATCTCTATTCTGATCAATCATGTTGAAGGCCTCCTTAAACTCCTGAATCTGTGACTGGTCAAACATGGCGAACACATTGGAGGTTGCGCGCTGGGGGCGCTTCTTGGTCTTGGTCTTTGCCTTTTTGCTAGACATGGTGGTGGTTTAATCCTAGAGTTAAAAAGAAAAGAGCATAAAGCAAAACAGAATGCATAAAAACATAAAGCAAAAAGAAAGAACTCACACCTAAAGTTAGTGAGTAAAAATATTTCAATGTATTGAAGAATTATTACTTTATTTGGGTGGGAATATACATATAAACTTTATTTCCAATGTCACAATTAAACAGCTAGGACAAAAGCAGTTTTGAAGAAACAGAATAGAAATTATTGATGTGGCTTCATCCCAAATTTCACGAACCTCATTTTTATTAAATGTGAATGAGTTTTAAAGCACATAGCAATAGATCGCATTTACCGAGTGCTACTACGTGCCAAGCACTGTTATGAGGGCAGGGGGCTCCCCTAAAGAGAAAGGCTCCAAAGCAGACATCTTACTTTCACAAGCACTGTCCCATTTAACCCTCACAACAATCCTATGCAGTAGGTACACCTTTTAACTTCATTTTACTACCAATATTGCATAACCTCTCTGAGCCTTGGTTTCTTCCAAAAAATGGTCTGAAAACCAGGGAACCTCACTCGACCCTCAGTTTTACAGCGAAACACTATCTACTCTAATGCAAGTGAGAATTAAATGAGATAACATATGCAAAGAGACTAGTATAGTTACTATAAGGTACATGCTCAAAAGGCTCTCATTTAAAAAAAAACATCAATGGGACTTCCCTGGTGGTCCAGCGGATAAGACTCGGCACTCCCAATGCAGAGGGCCCAGGTTCGATCCCTGGTGAGGGAACTAGATCCCACATGCATGCCGCAACTAAGAAATCCGCATGCTGCAACTAAAGATCCCGCGTACCACAACTAAATATCCCACATGCCACAACTAAGACCCAGTGCAGCCAAAATAAATAAATAAATATTTTTTTTAAAAAAATCATCAAAATGTATCTTTAGTCTTATATCCCTTCTAGCTACATCCTCATTTCCCCTTTCCCTTGACAAAACTTTTAGAATAGTATTCTACTACTCAACTCTCTCCATTTTCTCATCTTCCCAATCACTCCTCCATTCTCTGTAACACACCTTTAGTGGTAGCCCCTGATACTCTACTGAAAGCCACCAATGTTTTAAATGTCAAATAGAATGGACACTTCTCATTCCTTTTTTTGGACCACCACGTGGCTTGCAGAATCTTGGTTTCCCAACTGGGGACTGAACCCGGGCCCTGGCTGTGAAAGCTCCGAGTCCTAACCACTGACCGCCAGGGAATTCCCTTCTCATTCCATTTTTATTTGCAGTTTTAAATGATGTAAATAAATACAACACAAAAATACTCCTGGCTTTGGAATCAGAAAAATCTTGAGTCTGAATCTCAGCTTCACCATTTCTTGAAAACCCATGGACACCAGAATAATTGTTTGCTCCACTGTCTTTCTTATTCAATGTTCACAACTGCCCTATGAGGTAGGTAATACCTAGAAAAAAAAAAAAAAAAAAAAAAAAATCAATGGCCCTTGTGTAGTAAAGAATTAAATTTTGCCCAAAGAGAGGTGTGGCCTCTGTCCTCAGCTCTTGGGAGGTAATCTCTAAGCCCTTAGAATGTTCTGCCTGGTATATCTGGGGTCTTGGGTCACACCAGAGAGTCTAACAATGTGATTTATCATGGGGGCTCTGGGTCAGGTGTTAATCAGCTTGGCCTCTAGAGGAACTGGAGACTGAAGTCAGCCTAGGAGTGGGGACAGTATCTAGGGGACAGAGCCGCAGTAAAAACTATGGCTATGAAGGGTCAAGCAAGCTCTCTGGCAGGCCATACTCCATGCTCACCGTCACACCTTGCTGCCAGGAGAGGTCAACACTGCCCATGGAAAGGACCACTGGAAGCTAAGCATTTGGAATTCTCCTGGACTCCATACCACGAGTCTCCCCCCTTGGTTGACTTTAATCTGAATCCTTTTACTGCAGTAAACCATAACCATAGGTGTAACAGCTTTCAGTGAGTTCTGTAAGTTCTAGCGAATTACTGAACCTGAGGGTTGTCTTGGGGAACGAAACTTGGAATTGGTGTCAGAAATGAGGGTGGCCTTGGGGACTGTTCTCTAACTCTGCAGCCTCACAGTGTGAAAGCAGATGACTGATGAGGGCAGTGGCTGGGCAGGGGAATTCTGGACCTGGGTCTCCGGGACTTCCGGTCTTGGACTTTTAACCTACATTGTTTTGGTTTGTTTGCAGTTTTTTTTTTTTTTTTTGCAGTACACAGGCCTCTCACTGTTGTGGCCTCTCCCATCGCCGAGCACAGGCTCCGGACGCGCAGGCTCAGCTGGCCCAGCAGCTCCGCGGCATGTGGGATCTTCCCAGACGGGGGCACGAACCCGTGTGCCCTGCATCGGCAGGTGGACTCTCAACCACTGCGCCACCAGGGAAGCCCTGTTTGCAGTTTTGAAGCACATCAGCCTTAGAGTCCTTACTTTAACATTTCAACTCCTTCCCCTCCAGGCATACATGGCCTAAATGTTAATTTCTTCTCCTTCCTGTAACTAGCTAGTCATGTGACCTTAGTTATATTGAAGGTTCAATGGGAGACAGAATGTGGTCCACTAGCAAGGCACTTGACTGCTTTAATTCTTCCTCACATTCCCAAACTGCTGGATTAAAGTTCTTTCTCATGCTAAAAATTCTATGATTCTATTTCTTCAAGATTCAAAAGATATAAAAGACAGTAGATCTGAAGCCAAGAATTAGTTCTCTCCCTCAGTATCAGCAAACTATGTCTGCAATAGTCATTTAGAAAAACCTCCCAAAGAGAAAATCTTTATTTTTAAAAAATAATCAATTGTTTCATGCAAACGCTACAGCTAACCCAAAAGTATATTATATTTAAACATTTTTGAAACTTAGTTGGAGTTCTCCAAGAAGCTGATGCCAAGAAGAGACTGCACATGCAAGGATCTTTATCACGGAAAATGCCTGGGAGCGAGAACGAGGAGGTAACCCAGTAAGGCTAGAAAAGCCATTATACCGTGAGCAAGTCTGAGTCGCCATTCAAAACCTGTTACAGAGCAGGTATGGCTCAATGAAATGACACCATGATCTCTTTAAAAAGAAAAACAGTTTACGTTTTCTCTGTACTTCATTTAAAACCAGTGCACATTTATATTTGTATATAAATATACAAAGTACACACCGAAAATATCAACTGATAATAAAACCTCAGCTGAAAAGTGAGGCAAGGTTGTAGCAAAACGGTCAATCTAAAGAGAACTCTGGCGCCCAAAGACACTACCACCCTCTCTGCCCTTACCTTCTGAGATAAATGTCTTGGCTTCCTCCACTTTCTCACTTCCCACTCATCACAATCTGGCTTTCTCTTCTCTATCTGCAAGTGCCTTCCCACTGTCAAATCCGGTCTAAGTCTCCCTGGACCGTTCTGCTGTATTTGACACCGTTTTATCCCTCTTCTCTTCAGGCCTCAACAGCTCTTGGCCTTGATGAACTGTAACAGCAGAAATGAACTGTCCCAATGGAACGAGAGCCCAAGGTTCCCAGCCTTTAAGACTTTACACTCTAACGAGAGACTCCTGAAGATCACATTTAGTTTCAGTAAAATGCTGTATTTGACTTGGTGACACCAACCTCCTCTCAGTTCTATTTCTATGCCTGGCCCTCCTCCATTTTCTTGTTAGGCTCTTATCTTCTCCACTCACTTTAATATTCAAGTTTCCGAGTATTCTCACAGTCCATGGCTTATTAAATTCTTTTCACTCTGTGTTCCTTGGATGATCTCATCCGCTCTCACTGTTCTGACAACACCTATGACTCCCACGTCTGTATCCTCAGGGCTGACCCTTCCCTTGAGCTGTGGAATCAAACAGCCAATTGTGCTTGTGAAAGGCACCCATTTTGATATCCCAGACATTCAGAATCAACGTGTTAGAAACAGAATTCATTATCTTCCCCTCCTAAACTTTCTCAACTTTGTTTCCTGTCAGTTAATGGCACCATCGTTTATGCCCTCACCAAGCCAGAAACGTGCAAGTCATCCCCGACTCATCCCTCTCACTGATGAACCAAGCCTGCCTCTTAAATATTCATCAGACTTGCTCATCTCCCTCACTGTTCTGCCACCACCCTATGCTGGGCCCTCATCACCTCTTTGTGTAGAATATTTCATTGGCCAACTAACCAACCTCCTTGTTTTTTGGTCCCCTCTAGACTATCCTTTATCTTCCAGCCAGAGGTGTGTAAAACATGAATACAACCATATCATTCCCTTTTGAGAAATTGTCGGCTCTCCACTGCCTATAGGCCAAAGTACAAGTTCCTGAGCATGGCACACACACCTTTCCCTGCTCTAGGATGACCTTTCAGCCTCATCACTAGCCATTCTCTGCTTTGTACTTTTCCTTCAGCAACACCAAACTATTGGTACTAGTATGTGCCCAAGGCACCATGCAGTTTAACTCATGTATTTGTTCTCGCTATTTTTCTAGCCCCCAAATGCCTTAGGACCAGAGAGAATTAAAAGTCTACTCAACTTATGGCTACTACCATTTGCTCAGTGACTCCTATGCTAGGTACTCGGGTGCACTAAATTCAACATACCTGCTTTACACATGGAGGAACTGAATACCAAAATATATTAAACAACTTGCCCAAGGTCACCTGGTGGCAGAGCTAGAATGCAACCTCATTTGTTAAAGGTGATTTTACCTATATATTTTTTACCTCATACAATTCTGCTAGTTATTTTTTTTACCACAAAAAAATTCCTAAACTTTCAGTACTTACCAATATAGTCCAACACTGATTTCTGAGCAGCTACTTTCCTCTAAATTTAATTCCTAGTGAAACTCAGTTTTCAAATAAATTCAAACTATGCTGGGGAAACCAATGTATAGACTAGAAGTGCACAGTGGAATGGGAAGAGAATAAGGTATGAATGGCCCTCCCTGCAGCCGTGCAATTGGGTTTATCAAATGGCAGTATTTCCTATCAGTCATGGTTTTGGTTTGACATGGTAGGTAAAGGCTTGAAATCTTTACGTACGACTGTGAAATTACTATTTGACCTATAAATATTAAAGGAAAAATACCCACCAAACCCCATCCTTAGTTACAAAAAATATCCATTTAGAACATAGCATATAAGGTAATGAATAAGCCTTAACGGGAATAAACAAAAGTCTTACTTCCTCTTCAAAATTTTTATTTCATTATTTTTGTATATTTCTGATATAGAGTGAACTAAAGGTTATATGTAGTATTTTTAGAGGTTAAAGAAGGGCAGGGATATAGGAACACTGGTATTATAGGTAGTTGTGGTGTCAACATATTTAGGTCATAATCTAAATTTTTGCAAAATCACCTGCTATACTGACGTGCAAATCAAAACATGGGCACTATAATCATTAATAAGCAGAAACTGCTTGTGAACTTCATCCAGCCTATATGGCTTTACTGGAAGCCTGGAAAAGATGCTCATGGAGCATATTCTATTAGCTACCTATGAAACATCTAAGTCAGCTAGGTGCTGCTACCACATGGTGGGTAAATATGGCTCTCACAACAGTTAACCTCTGGTTTCAATCTTGGCTGCACATTAGAATTATCTTGGAAGTTTTTTTTTTTAAGTCTGTTACAATATTGCTTCTGTTTTTTTTTTTTTTTTTTTTTTTTTTGCGGTACGCGGGCCCCTCACTGCTGTGGCCTCTCCCATTGCGGAGCACAGGCTCCGGATGCGCAGGCTCAGCGGCCATGGCTCACAGGCCCAGCCGCTCTGCGGCATGTGGGATCTTCCTGGACCGGGGAACGAACCCGTGTCCCCTGCATTGGCAGGCGGACTCTCAACCACTGCGCCACCAGGGAAGCCCCTTGCTTCTGTTTTTTGTTTTTTGGACAGGAGGCACGTGGGATCTTAGCTCCCTGACCAGGGGTTGAACCCACACCCCCTGCATTGGAAGGTGAAGTCTTAACCACTGGACTGCCAGGGAAAGTCCCATCTTGGAAGCTTTTAAAAAGTGATGTCCAGGTCCTGGTCTAGTACAACTGAAACTGAATGTCTACAGGTGAAGTCTATGAATCTGTATTTTTAAAATGCAGCAGGTGATTCCAATATACAGTGACGGTTGAGAACCACTGAGTTAAACACTTAGAAGGCACTGACCCTGGTTCTGAGTTCTTGGCTGATGCCTTGTAATAACAGATTAATAACGGAAAAACAAACACACCGTTTATTAACACGTATACCTCATGTATACATGGGGAGATACCCAGGGAAAATCCAACTCTCAGAGGTGGCTTAGAACTCTGGCTTAAATATCTTCAGCTGAAGCCAAAAGAAGAAAGGCATGTGTGGAGGGGAGAGGAAAGGTATGGAAGGTTAAAAGCACAGTATAAACAAGGGTAAGGCTTCTCTTGTAGATTTAAGTCACGGCCTTCTCCATTAAGAGTCTAAAGTTGTCTCCAGAGAGTAACCTTTGTCCTGCCTGGTAGAGAGGGAAAGAACACCTTTGTAAATGTGTGTCCTGCTTTTAGGCACATTGGGGGAGGGCAAAGAGCCTTTCTTGTGTCTGCTTTCTTCTCAATTGCCTTCAGCTCAAAATAATCTTCATGCCAAAGTGGCATATCTTGGGGTGGCATATTCTGCCACCCTTCATAACTAATAGGATATTGTGAAAATGATGGAGTGCGACTGTGTCATAATATTGTAGATGTTGCTGGTTCTACCACGCTCTCTCAGATCACTCAATCTGGGGAAAGCTAGCACCAGGTCTACAGGGTATTATACACAACTCCATGGAGAGGTCCATGTGGCAGGGAACTGAGGCCTCCTGCCAACAGCCAGCACCAACTTGCCAGCCAGGTGAGTCAGCCATCTTGGAGGTTGATCCTCTTTCAAATGACTGCTAACCCAGCTAACATCTGGACTGCAACTCCAGGAGATCCTGAGCCAGACCGGAGCTGCCCAGCTAAGCTGCCCTGCAATTCCTGACCCTCAGAAGCTCTTTATTGTTTTCTTAAGGCGCTAAGTTTGGGGGTAATTTGTTATATAGCTACAGAAAACTAATAAAGCCGTTGTGTTTCCTTGGCGTCTTTAATATTCAATAGGGCAATACCTTTATTTCAGAATTATAGCCAAAGAATTTTTAAAACCTCAAAGGGGCCACAGCCAAGTTTGCACTGGGTAGGGAAATTTTCTATTCCTGGTTAGCAAATTTTAATTCCTTTTATTCGATTTCTCTCCAAGTTCTGTGGGTTCCTCTTTTAAGTGCAACAGAGTCACCCCTTCTTCAACATTCCCATCACCCCCTGGATATGACTGCAAAATATGGCTTTTCTCTATGGTTTACCCATGGTTTAGCATAAACTCCACTGGACTCTCCCCAAGAAATCCATAACAAAAAGTACCTGGAACAAAGAGTACTAATAAGAGTGCTAAATATGTGCTAGGCACTGGTCTAAGCATTTCATATGTATTATGTAATATATATGTATATATGTATTATATACATGTATATAATATATGTAATTCTCACAACAACTTATTACATAGGTACTGTTATTATCCCCATTTCTCAGATGAAAAATTAGGGCAAAGAGAATAAATAATCTGTCTGCAGCCACAGCCAGAAAAAGGTAGAGCTTAGATGCAGGATCATACTCAGGAAGTCTAGCCCAGAGCTTGCACCACTGGCTCCAAACATCCTGCATGTAGGCGGCAGAATTTCTCCACCATGAAAATGTGGAGAGCTGGTTGGGGGTAAGAAGCAAAGCCACCACATCTCAAGTGCGGAACGGGGAAGGAAGACCCCAAAGCTGCCGGCAATGAAAATCATCCCTAGATATATGCTGTCTTCGAATCTTGGGAGAGGGACAACCGGCTCCATTTAGGGGATCCCAGTCCTTTTATCTTTCCTAAGCCCAGCAACCCTCACCTGGGACCTGTCCTTCAGAAGCTGCAGTTCCTCTTGTCCACACTGAGTCTCATTAAAGCATAAATGCATATCGAGTAGGTCATCACAGAAGCTGTTTTATTCAACAAAGCCAGAACAAACAAGAAGCCATGCACTTAACCATGAGGAACGTCCACCTAATGCTCAGAGAAAATGGGTGGCACCAGGTGAACACCTCAAGTGACCTTGGGCAAATTATCTCACCTCGCTGGGTTTCAATTATAAATCGAAAGATAACCTATAGGTTTCTTTTGAATTCTAAAATGCTACAATTCTTTTCTTACCACTGCAAATCCGTCCGAAACCAAGGCTGCCAAACTACTCCTCTAAACACCCCTTTCTTCATCTCACTCCCTTAGTGAAGAATCCAAAATGACTCCCGAATGTCTCTTACATAATCTTTCATTTCTCATCAAGTTTGCAAGACATCCGTGAAAAGGCCCCACTGATCTACCTATTTCCAACTATTATTCATTACAGTTCTGTTCCGTTCGGGCTGGTCTCCTTTTCACACGACACAATTCACACCTTTTGAGCTTTTGGTCTTGTTACTTCCTACCACAGATACAGCCAGAAATACTAAGTTCTCCCCACCAGGGCTAAGTCCAAGGCCTTCAATGAGGTCACGATTCTCTTTTTCAGAAAACCTTTCCTGATTTTTGCTATTTGTCCTCTTCTTCAGTCAGCACGAATGAAGTAAATCTTTACAAGATGCAAGGTGCTGCGAAGAGTCACAACTCCTATGGAAATCGTTACATTTAGCCAGTACCAAGTCGGCGCTCCGGGCAAGAACGACGCACCAGCGGACCCCTGTGCCCCCAAAGCATCCAGCCCTGTGGGTTAAGCAGACACCCAAACCCACCGACCGGGCCGGCGGGGAGCGGGGCTGCGGCTGCCGAGGCGCCAGGTGTGTGAAGCCGTCGGGTGACGCAGCGCTGGGGACAGGCCGACTGGGCCAGCAGGGCAGTTCCCCAGCCCGGTTCCATCTGCCCCAGCCTCCCGTACCCTCGACGTCCAGGCCCGGGTTGGCCGCGGCCGGACCTCCTCGCCGACCCTCCCTGCCCCACTGGCAGGTCCCGCAGACCCCGCCCCGCCCCGCCCCGGCCTCCCGCCCGCCCGCCGGCCGCCGGCACTTTGGCCGGGGGCTGGCGGCG